ATCAGTGTCTCACAGGTGTAGTAAAACTTTGCCGGGTGTGGCCAATATCTGGTTTAATCTGCATCTGCGAAGGCCTATGTAAGATTGAAAACTTGCACAGGCCTCCAATTTAAAAGTTTTTAAACTAAGATTTAAGACACAAATTGAGTACAAAGAAAATACAAGCAAAATTGTAATAGTATTGGTGTTTAGCACATACGCAAAGGAATCCTCCTCCTGCATTTGGGCACCTGCCATAATTCTTTTTTTTTTTTCTAAATTTCCAAATCTTGGAACAGTTGATGAAAGTTTTGTATACCTTAATGCTGAAAATTGGTTGACCCATTTTTAAATTTGTTTAATTTAAAACATATTTAATGAGGGTGACCCAGTGTAGAAATAACATTTAATTGATTTTCTTTCTTTCCCTCTCCGTCTTTAGTTCTGCCAAAATTGATAACCCTAAATGGTTCATGGTGGATGTGAAGTTCATTCGTATGATGAAGCGTTTCATAGCTTTGTCAGAACTCAAAGAACTGCATATGGAACACAAATGTAAAGGAGGACCTCTTGCACACATTGCTTTGTTCACAAGAGCTAGACTTTCAGTACAGCCACTAACAGAAGGTGAGGTATAGTGATTCAATTGTCATGCCTTATTATAAATAACAAATTTATGGTAATAAATCATTTCTCTCTGATATATTACAGTAACTGTGTTGTATGGAGAAACACCTCCACTGGTGATAATTAAAGATGATAGATTTAAATATTTGAGCAATATATAATAAACGTTCCCATCAGAGTTCGAACTTATGGCCACAGCAAAGGTCTGTTTCTTCAATGGTAATATGATTTACTATTGCGCATTGCCTATATAAAAAAAATGTGCCCTAATGGGAAAATCCAAAGGTGTAATACCTCTTGGCCTCATAACTCAGTTGGTAGTGTATCTAATAACAATATTAATGGTAGACTTATGTAAAGCATCATGGTGAGGCCTATATGCACTTCAAGTTATTATTACCGCAGTCATTGGATTCAACACCTATGTAACATTTTAGACTCAGTACCATGGGCAGTATTCTATAACATTGCAGCAACTAATCAGCATATTTGTCATTTTAACCCTACCAGGTACCCACTTATACAATGATGTGGTAAAGTGCCTCAACCAACCCACTCCCATGATGAGCAGAAGGTCTTGGGTTCGAATCTTGATCTCCAGTATCCTAGCTATGTTCTTGTGAAATGAGTAGTCTGTGGCTGTATCGTTACCCCATGTTTGCTGTGTTCTTGTGAAATTAGTTCTCTTTGCCCAGTATCGATACACCCCTCCCCCCTCCTTTGCTGTGTTCTTTATTTTACCTTCACTAACCATCACCTTGTGCCATGTGAGCCACACCAAACCTCATCTTAAAAAGGTATTCACTACCACCAACTAGGGTGGCATACCAAAAGTCATTACAGTAGGTGCCAGTTAATCTACATATATATCAAGGATACATTAGTATACTGTATCCTGGTAACATTAATGTTATTCATAATGTTGCATTGTGTATAGGTCAGGAGTTATTAATAATAACTATAGCCACTTGAATTATCATTAGACTGAAACTAAAGGATATTTCTATCAAATTATTTTAAAATGTTAAAAAAATAACAACTCGCTGGAAATTTCCCAAAACCTTTTCAAGATCTTTCTCTGGAAAACTGATTTGCATTTGTATTACTTTAGGAAAAAAATGAATGATTTGTTTTCATTTTTATTCCTCTCCAGATGAGTATGATTTTATTTTGAGTCTTGAAAATATTGACCAAGGAGACTAGACTCCAAAACAGAATGATGTGCAACCAACCTGTGGAATTTAGGCTGAAAATGAAGTTCATGCCAATCTGAAACGTAATCATCCTTCCCATAATAGAAATAGATGACTGTTAGTGGACAAACAAGACAATACTTCCTAATAAGATTGGACAAACAAGACAATAATTCCTGATTTGGTTGTTAAGATGCTTGCCTAATCTACGAGCCTTGTAAAACTTTATATATATATTTACGATTGATATGATTTATAACATGTTCCTATATATTTGAGCACTGTATTATTATCTATGTGTTATATATTATTTGTGTTCCTAGTGCTAAGCAGCAAAAATTTAAAGATGTATTGTCCCATGCTAAATACCAAAAAAATCATAAAAATATTTTTTGAAATTAACTCGCCCATTTTGAAGTAACATAAAAGTTATCAATTTGAACATAGAAATTAGTATACTTAAAAATGTCTACCCATCAGTTTACAGCGAAAAATGATAGACACACTTCCAGTCACTGAAAGCGTTTTATTATTTTTATTATAATTTTCTGGTTTAAAAATCAGAGTACACTTTTTTTAAATTCAAAAATTGTTATGCACAAGTTAATAATTTGTATGCTATTGCAATATGAGCAAGTTTATTTCAAAATTATTTTTTTAATGATTTTTTGACATTAGCAAGGGACAATACATCTTTAATTTGATTATTATTTCCTACAGACACTTTTCAGTGTTTACATTTACCTGGCAGAAATGCCAGTAGCTTGCTAGTAGGCAGTAAATTTGGCAAATGCACAGGAAATCAGGACATGTATATATATATATATATACATATATAACACACACACACACACATATATATCGGTCTCTTATACACATCTAGATGTGTATAAGAGACAGTATATATATATATAAGATCAATAATGATAGAAACAGTGCTCAAATTCCCACGTAAAGTGAGGCTGAAATAAGCAGCTTGGTACATAAACAACTGAGAGTCTATGTGTAGGCATATTGCTTTTAGTTCATACTTGCCATGTACACTTTATTAGCAAATTTTATAAATTGGGTTTTTTTAAATTATTATATTATACAGTAGAATTGTAAAACTGTTATATATCTGTTTTTCTAATACTGCAAAGTAAATAATATTATATTTAAGTAAAGGGCCTCAGAGCAACACTTAGCTTGTCAGTAATATAAGGTTTTGTGTGCATGCGAAATAAATATTATTCAAACAAGACTTATGCTCAGATTCATTTTGCTGTGTGATTCATCTACAGTGATAATATAATATTCAGATTAAGAATCACTCAGACTCAGCCTGAGTCTGTCTTGAAACATTTATCAATTAGATAAATATTTATCCGTTGTGCAATCATCTACAATTTGAACTGGTAATAATTAAACGTAAAACCTATTATCATACGAACCAGCTTTGATGGTCGTGCTGTAATTTAAGTAGCTAAAATCAAGGTTGCACTTGAGTAACAAGGCCATCGTAACCATTACCAAGGTTAATATGACCATGGAGGAAGATGACGTGCGTCTTTCAAGAACAATTCCGAAAGTAGGCTATCTAGGTCAGGGGTGGCAGAGCTGCCCCCCCCCCCCTCCGTCGGGGAGAAAAAGCACAATTCGTCGGGGAGAAAAAAAATTATATGTATTTGCTACATATTTGTAGATTCTAAAATCGATTAAGTAAGCCTTTGAAACCCCTATATTGTCGAAATTTTCAGGGGCTTCGGCCCTGGATCACTTTCGAATCCATTTAATCGAAGCTCGACCACGCCCACTTTTATTTGCTTTCGTCGAGGAAATCGGACCCCTTGTTGGGGGGGATTCTTTCTCCCCCCCCCCTATCGGACAAATCCTGGCGCCACCCCTGATCTAGGTGCGCATGGCAAGGTATCCAATGTCTTGTCCCTATTTCAAAGGATTGGTCTCTGTGGTACTAAATTGAACCAGAGTCTTGATAGCGATTCACGAAAGATGAATATCCTGTCGGCCTATCTTGATAGATACCGCAACCGAACGTCCAAACGCACAGACACACAAGATAACGAGTTGCTAAGACTGCTTAATTTAACAACAAACCGAACAATAACTATTATCGAGCATTAACTTTGGTATTGAAATAACCTCCTCTGGTGATGGAAGTTATAAATTGTCCCCATCAGGATTTGAACTCAAGGACTTCCTAAGCTACCATTCGGGTACTTGTCAACTGAGCTAAAAAGGCCATGGTATGTACACCCCTGGTATTCAACCCCCGGTCTGTCAAAGATTTAAATCGTCCCCGCGCGACATTGCTAAAAAATAAATCATTTTCCGGGCGATTTTTTGCAGTACCAATACTTGAGAGAAGTTCTTTCTTAATAGAAACACAACCACCTACTCTGGTATTCTTAACAAGAGTCTGCTTTCTAATTGGGATAGCTAGGCCTACTCTATGCCTATCTAGTGGTTTAAAGTATTTGCAGGGGCGTATCCAGAAATGTCCAAAAGGCGGGACCGAAAGTGGGGCCGATCGAGATAATACGTAGGGGGTGGGGCATACCCCCGCGAAATTTGTGTGTTCTAGACGCCCAAAAATAACCTCTCTGAGCGTTTTAGGCAATGAATTTATAAGCTATATTGGTTTTGAAATTAACATAATATTTGAATTTGGATAAACTCTTATTTTCTAAATTAAAATTTTGATTTCAATATCTGTTAAACGTAAAAGAATCTTAGAAGCAATGTATTTTAATATTCAATATTATGATTGAACCAAATGTCTCCGTAGCCAATAGAACATAATAAATACCGTACTTAAGGAGATAAACCCAACAGATACTGAAGTTTCAGAATTATTACAAAATAAGGCAAGTATATTTGAAGTCTAAAAACTGATTATCTTTCTACATATAGACTCTGAAATCGATTAAGCCTTTGAAACCCCTAAATCGTCAACATTTTCGGGGGCTTCGCCCCCTGGCCATTTTCGAAACATTTTAATCGAGGCTCGACCACGCCCACTTTGCTTTCGTCAGGGAAATCTGACCCCTCGTCGAGGGCATCGCCCCCCCCCCTCGTCGGGCAAATCCTGTCGCCACCCATGTACAGTAAATGTTGCAAAGATGTAGACGTCACACATAGGATACACAATAGGCATAATTCGTAGCCAACTGATTTTTATGCGAGTCTGCGCAGACAGTAAAGGTCACAGATAATGAGAGAGGTTGCACTGAAGTACAGTATTTCTCTTTAACTTATTCGGACAGTGGACACCGTCGTTTGTCGACAAGGAGAGCGAAGCCGTGCAACCGAATTAATTACCTAACGGACCGTCTTCAGGTAGGCCTAAAAATCTGTTATTTCACCACACGCTTATTTTGATTTGATTCGGTAATCATTACAGGTATACAATGAACGACAATAACGATAAATACATGAGCAAACAAATCAAGTACCCAAAGCCGACCGAAGTTGGCTCATTTGCAATGTGCTGGTGGGTAATGTACGGAATACCACTATGGTGTGTTGTGTCAGAGTTACTTATCATCAACATATAATTGTCAGTGGGATGTTAAATGCCTAAATGTTAATAAGGATGTTTTGCTATGCACTGTCACATTGAATGAGATAGCTCCATTAAAACACTCATATTTTAAACTATGTTTAAAAAGTAAACTTATAATTTTTTTTTTTTTTTTAAATTTCAATCTTTATTTTCAAAAACAGTATTAAACTAGACCTACATATAGAATTGGGGTTGTTTCTACACAATTCAATTCAACATGTTAAAATGACAATAATTTATATATATATATGTATATATATATACAGTATATATATTCATACATATATATATATTGCTGTCTTTCTATATATTTATACACATATATATACATATATATACATACCATATACATATATATACATATAGACATATACACATACACACATACACACACATATATACATATATATACATAGGCCTATATACAATCTAGATGTGTATAAGAGA